CAAGAGGAGGCAGATCAGTATCACGTCAGCCTAAGAGGACATGGACGACAGAAGCGTTCTGATGATGACGTTCAGAATGTAACGGCGGGGTACGCTTCTGGTGACACGGGGATGCTGACAAAGACTGTAATTGGGAAGGGCGACGTTTCACTTCATTGGGTTCAAAGACAGGGCTCCCTTGTCACCAGACAGACCACAGGACCCCGCAGTTTGCCGCAGTGGACATTAATCACCGTGGAGATTAGGTGCCGGGAACGGGGTTGCTAATGTGGTTCTGTCTTTGAGGAAGGACTGAAAACTTCTCACAGTAAAAGTCTTCCCTGCTCCCTGCGGCCCACCCCCAGGCTCCTCGGGGTGAGGGCAGGACGCTGCCCCACTGAAGGGGTCCGGTTTGGCTGCTGGGATGGCAGGGCTGCTCAGCCCACGACGAAAAAGTGACCACCCCTCCGCGCCCAACCCCATCGGCTGCCCCACACCGAGCAGCAAATCCACCACTCAGAGCTACTTCTTGGGCACCTGGCAGCTAGAAATCCCCTACATGGTAAAAAGGGTCGGGGGGGCAGCGGGTCCAGACAGGGGCCACTGGCAAGGGAGCCGCTACTCAGAACTGTCAGCTGTCCCCCAAGGAGCAGAGGCAGAGGGAAGGAAGCCCAGGAGGAGCCTTTCGCAGAGAGCCTCTGGGCAGGCCCCAGGAAGGAGGCCCGGAGTGGGCAGGTCAGCACCTCACTGCCCCCAGGCCCCACCCAGGGCTTCACTGCAACCTCCACATCTCTAGGCCAGGGCCACCTGAAGACCCCCACTTCCCGGTGCCCAGGATACGGGGCGGGGGGTTAGGGGGCTGGAGGCGATCAGAGAGGGTGTACAAACATTCCTCCTGGCCAGCCTGATTGCTGATGTCAGATGCAGAGGATGTAACCCCAGGGGACAAAGTGTTCAGTGGGGCGGTTGAGTGGAAGGCCAAGTCCACGGGCCTTGCTTTGGGGGTCCTGGTGGTCAGAGGTCAGCTGCCAGCACTTCTCCCCTCCGAGAAGAGCTGGACTCAGGGTGCACGTTTCCCACCAATCAGGGCGGCTGTGCCCGACCAGCTTCACCCACATAGTCTGAATCCAGAGCAGCGTAGCAGTGATCACCCCATCGAGCTACGCTGAGGACACTCAGGGTGGCGCTGACGCCAGATGCCAGACACGGGGCGGGGAAAGGGGTCCATGTGCGCACACACGTGCACACACACATGCGTCCACGACGTGGGCACAGAGCCGGCCAACGCTGAATCCAGCTCAGGCTCCAGGGAACAGCTGGAGGATGGTGTGCCGAGGGGTTGAAGTCAGCCCAGTTGTGAGCTGGACTAGATTCTTGCAGACATGACCGAGACACTTGTCCAAGAGCGTGTAACCCTGCAGGAGTGCCAGTGGTGCTGCGCACCTCCAGGAAGTACACGCGATGCCCTGCCGGCTGTGAGGCTGATGGAGGGAGAACGAGAAAGCCCGGCGGCCCTCATGCTCCCCAAGCGGCTGAGTCAGCGCATCGCCCGTCTCCCAGCCCCTGACTTAAGAGAGAAGCCCAGAGACACATGACAAGTGAGGGTCTGGGGTCCCGGGACCCCCGCCTCTTGGTCCCCTGTCTTTCCCAACTCGCCCCACCCCAACCCCACCTTTCCATCTTCTCTGCCAGCCTGCAGGCTGCCTCCCTCCACTCCACTGACAACAGCAAAGGGCTTTTCCATTTTTCCCATCAACTCGTTAATGATTTTCAGAACCTGAGCTGCTCAGGCCAGCCCCCGAAGCCACTCTGGACTTGGAAACTTGGGACACACTGCCCTTCCAGCTCCTAACTGCTCCCAGGAAAGCCCCCTCTAGGTCAACAGCTCTTTCAAGAGGCCCCGGCAGGAGGTCACCAGGGCAACATCTGACCTTGTTTAGGACCCCACCCCCAGACTTCAAACCCCACCCCCTCCTGCTCTTTCCAAAGGCACAGCATCCTTTCCCCCAGCAGATTCTACTGGCCCCCACCCCCAATTCAAAAGCCTCTGTCTTTACTGTCAAGGTGCAATGTCATAACCAGGTTTATCACAACCTTGCAAACAGACACCTGCCCAGCAAAGCAATGTGAGGGCCCTGGGTGAGGAACCCAGTCTCGGCTGCTGGTCCCTGACAGCAGCCTGAGCACACAGCATGTCCCCTCCCAGGGCAGGGTGCATGGGGCGGGGCGGGGGGGGGTCCTTCTAAAAACTGCTGCTGTCAGGGAGAAGCTGTGCCGAGAAAGATGGGGGTGGAGGGGGCGGCTCCAGGAGGGGCGCCTGGTCCAGCAGACCCAGACTCTGGACTCAGGAAAGCAGTGGACAGGAGCGGCTCTGTACTTTAGTAAGATGAAAAAGCTGAAACAAAAACCTGCAGCCAGCTCCTCTGACCCCAGTGGCAGGTACAAGCTGTTGCATTAGGCAGCTAAAACATTTTGGTACCAAATTACCATGCGTATTCTTTTTCGGTATTTACTATTTTCCACTTCCTTGTAAGCAACAAGATTGAACTACAACCTATCAAGAGACAGTAAGCAGCAGACGCAGAGGGCGTTCCCGAGAATGGAAAACCCTACTGACAGCAGACTTAAGGTAACAGACCTTTATGAGAATGAGATTTGGAATGAAGAAATATTAGCTGACCACTATTTTAGATTTGAAATTTTAGCCTGTCATCACCTGGCCTGGGTAGTGGCATCTCTGAGGTCTCGTGAAGGACAGGCACCTTGAAAGGCTGGACCTTGGGAAAGTTCGTCCACTTCTATGTGGCTCAGTTTTCTCAAGAAAGGAAATGACTGGTCTTGCCCTTCTCCTAGGGCCCTAGGACTAGTGCGTGGAGCTAGAACACGTACCAAGAAAGACTGCAGAGCATCAGAGAGGGACACTGCCCAGTAATGCAGTGACAGGAACGGGGAGACAGCAGGAAGAGAACACAAAGCCAGCTGTAAAAATGGTGGAGCCAAACTTGGCTGAGCTTAAAAAGAAGGCGGGAGGGAAGCGGGCACAAGCTTCCTAATGACAGCCCCGCGTCATGGAAAAAAAGACCCAGTAAGAATCAGGGGTCCCCAGCAAATGTGCGCAGGCAATTCCATGGGGATTCCAACAGCCTTTTCTGCAAGTGGTGCCGGAACATCTGGACATCCTTATGTGAAAGAATGAAGTCAGACCGCAACCTCACACCATATAGAAAAACTAACTCAAAATTAATTAAAGACTGCTGGAGAACTAAAGCTGTAAGAATTCCTGGAAGAAAACATAAGCAGAAATCTTGATGTTGGGTTAGACGATGGTTTCTTAGATATGACACCCAAAGTACAACAAATAAAAATAGGGAGCTTAAAGACATCATCAAAATTAAAACCTCTGTGCCTCAAAGGACATCAGAAGAAAGTGAAGAGAACCCACAGAAGTGGGGAACGTTCTGACAAATCACACATCTGATAAGGGACCTGCATCTGGATTATACAAGGAACTCAGACAACTCGGTAATAAAAAGACAAACTAAGAACGGGCACAGGACACGAATGGACATCTCTCCAAAGAAAACGTACCAATGGCCAGAGACACATGAAGAGGGATGCTCAGCGTCACCAGCCATCAGGGAGATGCAAATCCAAACCAGTAAGGTGCCACTTCACGCCCACTGGGATGGCTGTAATCAAGGGGACAGACAACAGCAAGTGCTGGCGAGGATGTGGAGAAACTGCAACCCTCACACACGGATAGGGGTGCACAGTGATGCAGCTGCTTTAGACTGTTCCGTCTGGCGGGTCCTCAAAAAGCTAGACATAGAGTGACTCTATGACCCAGCAACTCCACTCCTACGTATTTTCCGAAAAGAAATGGAAACATACGTGTACACCGACCCTGGTACAAACATATTCGTAGCAGCCTTATTCATGATGGCCCCAAAGTAGAAACAACTCAAATATCCACCGTGATGGATGGATAAACAATGTGATCTATTCAAAGAATGAAATATTACTCAGCTATAAAAAGGACTGCAGTACTGATATGTGTTCAGTGTGGATGGCCCTAGAAAATGCATGCTAAGTGGGAAAAAGCTAGTCACAAAAGACCACATACTGCCTGGTCCCACACACGGAACAGGCAGCTCTGTAGAGAGAGAAGGGCCGTGGGTGCCCAGGTGGAGAGCAATTGGAAGGAAAGTCGGAGAGCCTTGGTTAAGGGCACAGGGTTTCTTTAGGTGTGGGTGATGAAAATGTTCTAAAGCTGATTGTGGTGATTCTGTGAATTTACTAAAAACTGTAGGCTTGTATGCTCTACATGGTAAACTGTACGGTATGTGAGTTACAACTCAATAAACCCATTATGCACTACCCTCCCCCCTGCCCCGGAAGGAAAAGGAATCAGGGAGCTGTCCTTACTCTGCAGGCACCACACCCAACACAGTTGTGACCAGGGCCCGTTTCACTCCCAGAAATGCCCTGCGTTG